GATCCCTGCGGGATCCAGGCTGTAAAATACAACGCCAGCATGTTGTGTCTCAGACATCCTGCTGACACTACTTCACTTATCTAATCGTACTAATATTGACAAATGACTGCTTCTCCTTTATTCTGTGGTAACCCTTGTTCTTTAGATACATACAATTCGGTGCAGGTATGTCAACAGAATCTGAGCTTGTAGCTTTCAGTCATGTACCGATCATCCCCCGGGATCCTCAGGTGCATTTAAAGGTCATCACCAGGTAAGAGGTCACTATCAGGCATGTGCCTACAAAACATGTATTGTTTCCTCAGTGTTTTTGAGACTTTAGGATGGGGTTTGAACTAATTTTAGAACAATAGATAATCTAAATTTAAAAGTGTGTTCACAAGACTTGGGGAGAATAGCTGAAATGTTTGACTTAGAATTTGTAAACGTAAAAATTCTTTTCTGTAATGGTAAATGGTACAGTTCAGAATAAGGCTGCCTTGAAAAAGAACTCCAAATTGCTAAACTTCCATTTTCTTATAAAATGAAGTTTAACTGATAAGAATGTATAGTGTCTTTTTGCTTTTTAAAAAAAAGCCTTTTTTCTTTTTTTCTTTTCCTCCCCAAATTGCAGAAGACATTTTTTTTTCCAGAAGATGACTCTTTGTTGAAAATTATTTGTTTAATGTGAGGCAGTGTGAGCAGTATTCATCTTGACAGTGAATACTGCTCTCTTTTTAAGGCAGTTTATTACTTCCTATCTCTCTGCACACGTATCTGGGGTACTGTGAGTCATAGGCTGCCATAGGCTGGCTCAGCTTTCCAGGCACTATCTCACTTCATACTACCCAAAGCTGTAGCCCAACAGTTTGTGGATTTCTAAGTTAGAAGCCAGTTTACCAACTGATAATTAGAGATGGCCTTAGGCTGAAACTTCAGATTCAAAACAACTTTAGACTTTGACAGTAGCAATAGGATCTAAATAATCTTGACCCTACACTAACAATATTTCTAAAATGTCAGTGGAATTTTATTAAGCCTAATTTTCTAATGAGCAGCTATGAGTTGAAGCTAAGTCACCTGTATATCTCCATTAAAGACAATTCTTATCCTTGTGATTGAAGATCCTTAAGTATCTCTATAACTGAAAATGTAAAAAGTGAAGATTTTAATATAGTTGTTTTATTACAGAGATTTTGTTTTTAAAGATATTTGTTTAAATAGTTATTAGTCCTAAGGAGCAAGTGGATCACATTTCTTATCAGAAACAGTGTATTTTACAGCTTTACAGGGAGAGCTAATGATCTGGCTGGTGCAGGTTGTAGAGCGAGTAATACCTCTTGCTGGTTGAAATCTTGCATAATGCTAAACTTTTGCAGGAGCCAAGCTTCTCAGGATAGTAAACAGTACACAAATGGTACTGACAGTGCAGCCTAAGAAGAGAAGCAAGTTGTGATTGATTTACCATAGCAATGCCATTATACCTCCTATACTTCAAGGTCCATATCATGCCCCTAGCTTTTGTGATTCACTATTAAATGATTAAAATTACAAAGTATTTTGTAAAACTTGAGATCCCACTTTTTCCTTTGAAAATTTTACAGTTCCAGTAGGTGTTTTGTGCTTTAAAGTAAAGATTCTTTGCAATTCTCTAACTTCAGAAACTTTTCTAATATGATATATAAGGACATATCTCCAGTGTTACTCTACATACACAAGTTTTCAAAAATTAGTCAAGATCTGCGATTGATGAGACTTTTACATTAAGAATTTTAAGCCAAACAGTATGTTTTTTATTTGGCTGCTGTGGTTTCCAGTCTTCACAGTACACTTTGACTGTCTTTCTAGAGCTCTAATACCAGAATTCCTTTTCAGTATTTGCAAGAGCACAGAACTGAGGAGAACTGCAAGATTCCTGAGCTGGCAATGTTGAAAATGGAGTGTCTGTCTTAGCATGCTGTTAAGCTGTAATGTGAGTCTTGGAAAGTTAAGGTATAGTGGCTGTGAGTGTTTAAGTCTACCTCACCAAGCTAAAAATGAACAAATGGAAGTGCTGAGAATTCGGTCAGCAGTGAAGAGAATCACTAAGTGAAGTGGTTCACCAGTCACTAAGTGAAGAGAATCACTTAGGGAAAATATGTGCAAAAGGGTATAAATCATATCTACCTAGGTACTTCCCCTGAAATGTCCATTGCTATATGCCATTTCATTCAAGGGTATTTAGTTACAGGGTATAATTTTTTTATCCTATTTAAATAGCTAATTCAGCTAAGGACTGAGAGAAAAAAAAAAAAGGTGCAAATGTTAGTATAAGGGATGGTGTGTCTCTTTTACCTGCCAAATGACAGCATTTTCTATGATTGCTATTTTCAAATAGATTTATTTCAGTAGTTTGAATGACAACAGACAGAGAAGATTCTTCTTTACTTTGAGGTAGGTACATAACGCATATGATTACAAATTATGCTAGCTTTAATGTAATTAGCTACAGCTTCACTGAATTTCTTAAGAAAAACCCACCTCAGAGAGGATTTGGCCCTGTATAAGATTGGAGAAGGTGATTATATGTCGTCTTGCCCACTGCCAGTCACCATCTGGTGTGCTGGCACTTTGTGGTGGTTTAAATGTAACAGTAACATCACAGGGGTGTAAGAAAAGCAGGAACGAAACAATAGTGAATCAGGACCGTGAAGTACTGTTGGGAAATACTTGGTTTACAGTGTACAAACAGATTGTTCTTTCAGTTTGAGAAAGAACGTTTGGCTCTGTTATTATTTGCCTAAGATTTATCAGACTTGACATGAACAAAGATTGGACTTTCTGATTAGGTCTGAACATCACAAGAATATACACAAAATCTGGAATTGTTCTTCAGGTGCTATACATACTGTTTGAAAAGTACGTGACGTCTGGTCTTATTGTTAGTATGCCCTGCTAGTTCTTGCAGGCTTTTTCAGAGTCAGTGAGTTTAGAAACTTTTTATTTCTTTTAAACTAGAGCAGTATGAATGCATCACTCCTTGAGGAAAAATTTTGGCTGTGTCTCAGAAATAAAGCAGGATTTTCATTCTGCCAAGGATTGGCAACAGAGAATAAATCTTAATGGCATTATCCAGGACTTCCTTGAACTTTTCAGCATTATGCAAATATGGACCTAAGAATGAATGCCAATATGAGTTTAATTACACTAATTTAAATAATCCTTTGTATTTCTTCTTGTGATAAAAAGAAAGTCTTAAAATAATCAATTTTGAGATTGACCCTTTGTCCCTGCACAACAGATCACTCAAATCTTTTTAATACAACCAGCAACCTGCTTTGATTGACCTGTTGTAACCAGCTTGCAGTTGTTACCAGTTTATCTACTGGCCATAAGGTACTTTTCAAATCAGGACTTTTTAAAATTTCAGAATGCCCTCAGTAATCAACTGGTACTAGAGCTGTGTTTAGAAATACACACGCCGAAGAAGAAAGAATAGGAGGTGCCAGTTTTTCCACTGACATTGGTGCTGCAATTCCCTTAGCAGCAAGTTGATTTCTCTGGAAGAGAGCCAAAATGCACATGCAAATAAAGGGGTGGGTAGGGTGGAGCATCTTCAGGCACAGTTGGTGGTATAACCAGTACAGATGAGGACATCTGGAACAACGTGCAGCCAGATTGTGCCCAGGCTGTTTTAGCTGCCACCGACCAAGTAAGAAGGAAGGGTGAAAATGTATTAGCTATCTAGGCTCTAATTCAGAAAAAGTGACAGATTTTTCAGTATCAGAATTTATATGATTGTAGCTCTTTCTAGATTCCCCCCCCCCTTCCCTTCCCGCCCCCGCTCCCAGTAGTGGGTTATGTTGCTGGTGGGTTTTTTCCCCCGCAAGGTACTTTGTGCATTGTGGCATGAAAGTTTTTAATGAAGAATTTAACCAAATGAGTTTTGCTGCTTCTTAACCGTGCCTTTTTCATAGTGCTGTTACCCAGACTACTTGGCACACATAGTACAAAATTCTGGTTTCAGGAAATCTGGAATTTGGGACGGTGCCTCAGCTCATGCAATTCAGCACAGTTACACAGTGATCTAAATGAGAATCTGTTAAAAAAAAACCAAACAAGCAACTCTTTAAAAGCATGCTGTCTCTGCCTACTACATGGATATTTGAGAATTTTTGTAAAAGGCAGTTACAGAAGAACTTAATAGTACAGATCTTTACTGAGCTGGAGCTGCTGTCCTGCAGTGTGAGTATTTTTATCCAAACCACTTGAGTGATAGACCCCAGGAATATACCTGTGACCAGTCTCAAGTTTCTCCGTTTGTTAAAAGCGTACATGAAATCCCATGCTTTTTTTGTGCATTAATCCTTCCTAAAAAGGTAGACCGGACGCAAATCCATGTCTCAACCTGTGGAAGGGAGGGGGCCTGAGAGGAGCAGGTTGCTTAACTTAGCTGCCAACTGAACAACTCATTCCAAGGTCCAGAGCCTCGGCTGCGGAGATAGTGTTGGTGAGGTGTGTACGGCAAGGGCCATACTTGAGTGCCTGGACCTTGGCCTCGACTATCCCTTGCGGCGTTCCGTGGGTCAGGGAGGGTGGGTGTGGGGAAGGGTGTTGCACGGCAGATGAGGGCAGGCAGGCAAGCTGGATATATGCCTGGGAACACACGGGGGGCAATGACCCTCTGATGGCTGTGTGACCCTTGGCCCCTGCACCGGGGCTGGTGGCAACCGGGAGATCTGCGGCCTCCCCCTTTGCCCGCGCGTGGGGCCATCTCGGTCGGCCCCACGACACCTTCAGCCGGGGCTACGCTGACGCTCGGTAAGCAGCCCGACACCGCGGCGGGGACCGAGCGGCGGGGACGGCCCCCTCGGGGGACTCCCGCCGCGGGGGAGCGGCGCCCGCCCCGTCCGGAGCCGCGGGGGCTCCGCCGCGGTGCCGCCCGCCCCGTGTCCCCCACCACGGCCCCCGGGGAGGGGCCGGGCGGGCGCCGCTCCCGCCCCGCAGAGCCCCAGAGGCGGGGGAGGCGCGGCGGGGCTGCTCCGTCCGCGACACTCGCCGCGTCCCGCCGGGATGGAGATGCTGCTCCCACGCGCGGCGGCCGCGACGAGCTTCGCCGACGACGTGCTGAGGGTGTTCGGGGCCAACCACAGCCTGTCGGCCGCGCAGCTCTCGGCGCTGCTGCAGCAGCTGGGCGCCGCGTCCGCCCTGGGCTCCGCGCTGCCGCTCCACCACCTGCACCACAACCAGGTACCGCGGGGGCTGAGAGGGCCCGGCTGGGAGCGCACGCCCAGGAACGGGGACACCGAGCCGGCTGGGCAGCTCCGTGGTGTCTTAAATCTCGCTCGCCGTGGTGCTTTCTCGAGTTGAAGCCGGAAAAGAGGGAGGGAGGGAGCAAGTGTCTTATGAGGCGCTGGGTACGGGGTTCGCGCAAAGGTACCGGTCCGCTGGTGAGAGCAGGTTGCGGCAGGAGAGAGGCTGCCGTCCATCAGTGAGCTGCTGCTCCCTGGCATTAGTTCTCCCTCCTCCTCGTTGTTCAGCTCTTAAAGTGGCACTTTTCCTGGTTGAATGGCATCTGGACAACAGCAAAACGTGTGTGAGAATCAGCTAGTTTCCCCCTCCGGCAGCTGAATAAGCAGATCTTCAGGACTTGTTCAAAATACAATTGTCATGAGACAGCACAAACTCAGTTGTACAGACAGGTCTGGTTGTGTAAAGGAACTGTTTCAGAAATTTTCACATCTTTCATCTAAGCTGAGTAAAAAGTGTACATGCATCGATTAACCTCCCAAAAGCTTTTTTAAAATGATGTTTAATTTACTATCATTGGAATATTACTTTTCATGAAAATATTTTTACTCTGTTTAGTATCTCCATACAAAACTCCGATTTCATGGCTGCTTTTAAAGTGTGTATAATTTCACATAGTGCATTAGACTAAGTCTGTTTTCTTGAAATGGAATTTTTAGGCTGGTGGAGATTTCCATGTTCTCAGAAAAGGAAAGCAGGAATGACTGTTTGGTCTGGTTTGATTCCACTCCCTAATAAACAGAAGAGGGATGGCTCTCTACGACCTTGAGAATTGTTTTTTAACATTTGGAGTAGTAGCTCCTTTTCTTGTTCTGTGAAGGAGACAAATCTTGGATAACCTCCGTTTGTCTTATAAAGGTTTAATTGGGAATTAACGCCACTGAAATTAGTGTAGTATTCAGTATAAGCATAGCAATATTTGCAGGAGTCACTGCTTTCAAACCTCACAAATTGAACACTGTTCCAACACAGTGTGTTAAAAACATAAACATTCCCAGCCACACATGCTAAATACAAGTTTTCAGTGTTCAATGTGGCTGTGAAAAGGAGCTTTCTTTAAGAGGGCCATAGAAACGGGCAGATTCCTCAGTCCTTCAGATTTTCCTTCTGCAAAAGCACGTAGCTCTCGTACACAGGCTTTGGCACAAGGTACAGAGGAAAAAAAAAAAGTAATGGTCTTTTTTACTACTAAAGATGCATGTTCCTAATAAGTAATTTGAAGTTTAACAGAACAATTTTTTTTACAGGCCTGTTCTATTTGTGCCCATGTTGAATAGTATGTAGGTACCATACTGAAATGTGTATATTTTTTTTGCTGAGTTGTATTCTTTCTTAAAACTGACCTTACAGCTGCTCCATCAGCTTGTACCACTAAAGCAAGCGCTTTTTTCCTCATGATCTTTGATCCCTCATGGATATTAAGTATGTCCATGACTTTGGGCAGATGGTGCTTGCAAATACATATTCATACCAAGTAAATCCTATGCGAGTGTTTTTAAACACCATGAGTCTTTGTGCTTACAAGTTGATAATTTTGAGTGTCTACTGGTTATGACAGAAGCTATGAAGTGACCTAACCTAAATTTGGATGTTGGAAGGTATCAGAGACCTCAGCTTTACTGATTCTCTACAGATGAAAGTGAATTCCTCTGGAGAGTGACTCAGGTCTTTCTCAAGTAGGCTGAATCCATTCAGGCTGCACATACATCTGACTGTAGGAAGACACAAGGTTTATCTTAGACTTTAAGTTTATAACTTCTATGTCCAGAGCTAATGGGATGACTTCCAGGCCTTTCTTTGAATCAAGATAACACACCCCTACTCTTCAGAGAGTCCCTCGGCCAAACCTGAAGGAATTTTTAGTGCAGAGCTGATCTGTAAGGGCAGGTGATAACAGCACCTGGCAGGAAGGAACAGTCTCTGTAAGTTTTCTCCCAGTATTAGTTTTCAGTTTTAATGTTTCATTCATAACAATTTTGGTAAGCATATTAGTCTCATGAAAAGATCCACGAGAAGCTGATCCATTTTCTTTTTCAGATTTTTCATTTTTCAGGTTGAAAGTCTGGGTGTGTAAGCCAGAAGAAGATGGATGCTTGTTTTCTGTTTTCCTTTGATACCAGGTTGACTTGAAAAGATAAGGGAGAACAGAAAAATGATTTAATTTGTTGATGATGGTGTTTGAGCATACACTCATGTAGGCATTTATGGTAACTGGTGAAGATGCTGATTTTGTTTTTTGTGTAGGAGGGAAAAAAAAGGCACACTTTTTGAGTACTCTTGAAATTTTGCATTTAACTGCCTCCAATTTCTTATGGTTTTGGTCTCTTCTTTCATCATGAACTTTCATAATTCTTTTTATTGTGTGTTTATATTTGCTTTGCTCTTCTATTTTTCTGTTATCACCTTTTCTTAATATGTAAGCTCAGGCTTCTCGTCAGAGAAATTAGTAACTGAGCAAACTCAAATACTGGTCACTGCTGCTATTTCACATTTTCCTGTGGAATTCCCCCACATTTTAGAGCTACTAACAGGTGTAAAATTAGCAGTTGCAGTCTAATAGATGATGGCTTGGTTATGCGCTCTGTATTTTGCATTATTAGGAAGATGTAAAAGCACGAAACTACACTTAAACTTTTATCATTGGATTCATTGTAGTATGGTAGTCATACATGTGTACCAAGGGATTAAATGACACGTTCAAGATTTTTGGTCAAAAATGCATGGAAGGTAAACGGTCACTGGAAAGAAAACTTGTTAACATCACCGTTATTTTGTGTTTTGATGTAGTCAGTAGGTGCTTAAATCATGCTCCTGTTTCCTTCTTTGCCTTTCTCAGTCTATATTTGTACCAGTCTAGATGTTACAGCTGAATACTGTGTTTTAATGTAATGCATTTTAATTGTTTAAAAAAGCATTTGGATTGGAAAACATTTTTGTCAGAACATAATTAAAATTTTTGCTAATATTAATAATCAGTTATAATTAATTTACATCTCAGGATGAGTCAAGATCTAGTAACTTTAGTATTTCAGATAGACTAGAACCAGGCTAGTATCTGCTTTGATTTTCTTTTTTTTTTAGTAGTGTTTAACTAGTTAAAACTCATGTTTTTTCAAAGAATGGAGAAAGAGTGGGACTTAGGCTCTTGATCCAACACCATGATCTGATGTTGCCTGACCAGTGAGGCCAAATAGGCTTAGTTGTTCTACCCTCCAAGTGTCTTATTTCTTACAATATGCTCAGCAAATTTCAGCACTTAAGGACAGTTTTCAGCTCCCAGCATGAACAGCTGCCTTGATCATGGGGTGTGTGTGAAATCCCTAAAGCACACAAGTGCATTTGAGCAGCCTCATCTGGTTCGACTCCTTCTCATGGAATGCTGCTTATTGAAGGAATGATTGTCTCGTAGCATCCTGTTCTTAGCTGTGTGACAAAAAGTTGTCACCACGTAAGCATTAGATGATTTAATTTGTTACAAGTAAGTTGAGGAAGACATGGTTGTATGTCTCTATTTCTCTTTATCCAGCCTCAGACTAAATTTAAAAAAAAAAAAATAAAAGCTGGTTAGATAAGCATTCACTGCATTCTTTCTTTGCTGTTGCTACTGTGGAACCCGTTGCTCAGCCCAGGGCTGGGCTGGTATTTAATCTAACAACATTTAGAAACTGCAGTCCAGGATGCTGTTGGGTGTTTTCGTACTTCATATGTGGAATGCTGCAGATAAAACAGGCAGAGCAATGATAAGAACACAGCAGAACGCAGGGACTGATGCATTTGAAAGATGGTTGTTGCTATCTTTTAATTTTTCCAGTTAGAGGAATCCCATATTGGTCAGTCATTTTTGGGAAAGCCTTAGCAGGATAAAAGTAAGCGTATGTTTGAATAACCTCATTGATGGTTTAATTTTTTCTACGTCTGAATATTTTGTAATTGTGGAAATTCTACTGACTTAAGTCCTCCCCGCTTTTGATGAAAGCATTTTTAAAAACATTTTCTTAAAAGTTTAAGGACAATCAGTTGTGGTATATCTTTTTTTGCAGTTGTTTACAAAACACTGGGTGACAGTAACATTACAGCCGGTCCCCTCACCTAATGTGATGAGTCTTACTGAATAGCAGGGGACAGACATAACAGTAGACTTGGTGAGTCAGGACATCATTTTCAGTCCCCTGTTCCATAAGGCTAAATTTTCTTTCTGCTGAGATCATCTGTCAGTCTTACAAAATAAATAGTGCATGTTTTTACAGCAGTGCGGCTGTGTTAATATATTTATTTATCCTCCAAAGATAAATGCAGAGTTCTGCAGTGTGCAAACATGCATTGCTCCAGTTCAAGAATTCTAGTAGATTTAGTCTTTTAATTAATCCTTTAATTGTGACAGGGAACTCATGCAAGCTTGCTTTTAAGCTCTTGGATGTATGTAGGAGTTTACTGAGAGTATGAGGTGACTTATAACAATGAATCATTTACAAGAATCATTATCCTCTAGGTTTGTCCCTGATCAAAATAATAATAGTAATTAAATAAAATGCTGTTTCTCAATTTCATACGAAAGAGCTATTGTCCAATAGTATTTATCGCTTACGTGTTTGCATGTGGGCAAAGTTATAAGACTTAAGTTTACTAATTCATGCTGTGTCTGATTTATTTTCTCTCCATAATCTGTTTTCCTACCTACAACATTGTTTGGATTTTTGTGAACTAATGTTAATACTAATGTATTGGTGTTTTAAAAAACTAATAGTTAAGTCTGTATTTCTAGAAATGAGATAGTTAAAGGTGATTTCTCTCTGAGATGGTTATGTTATAAATTCTAAGCTCTTACTTGCTTGTTTTTTTTAAGGCTTTTTCACCATAGGTTCCAGGAATGGCTCTATGAGCCAGTAATAAGCACCTTGCAAGAACTGTTCCTGTAGACCACAAGTATTCTCTCTTTGTTTCACTGTGGGCATATTAGCCATGTATTTTGAATTATTCCATAATGCAGAGTCAACAGGAAAATGGTTATGTGCATAACCAGTTTAGAAAACTCCAGGGCTTTTTGTACTGGTCTGTAAAAGACTGTATCTTTAGTGATGATTTCTTCATGCATTACTTCCACCAAGATTAAATGGAGCAACATGTTTTAATGCAAAAAAAGTCTTCTGTTATCAAGTCAAATATATATTTCATATGTGATACTTTTTTGACATTAGCATTGATGTTGAAAGATGAAATTATATGTACTTTGCTTCTGTATATTTGAGTCTTCAGGGTCTCATGGCCTTAACAAAGTTTATACTTATGTTTAAGTTCAAGCACATATTTGAGTGCTTTGCTAGGCTGGGTCATTAAAGAGGAAGGATAGAAACATCCTGGATATAATTTAGCTGAAGTTGCTTGAATTGACCTGCATGTTCTTTTTCTCCAAGCTAAATCAAAAAGAGTAATTTCCAAGTGATGTGCACATGCTTTTCACCTTTTGGACGGCATTACAAAATTATTTATTAACGGAATCAGAAGTTGAAGTAAATGACTTGCAGTTGCTTAAGCTTGTCTCTAGAAGGAAATGACTTCATAAATAATAATGTTGAATTATTGGAGAAGTGCTATGGAATCTGAAGGGTATAGCAAAACTGAAAAGAGCAGGGAGTGAACATTTGTTTTTATTTTGAGAGACTTTCTTTATTTTGAGAGACTTTCAGTACTCTGCTTTGGCAACTGAGATTTGCTACAGAGAGAGTTATGCTGTAACTGATGTCTCCTATAGAAGGAAAATATTTGACTTTTTCTGGTCCTGAGACTTAAGCCAAATCTCCTTTGTTGATATCCAAAAAAAGAACAGTTTTTCCTTATTATTGTAGGAAATAAAGAATGTGAATGAACAGAAAGTGTTAGGTGAAAGACTTCAACAATTTGGAACATTTAATATAAAAACACTTTTTCTGTAAATGTATGTATTACAATATTTCTTGGTCTGTATTTTATCTTTTTGGTTGAAAGTGACAAGCGCAGGAACCAGCCCTGCCCTGGCCTGGTTTAGCACTGCCAAGTATGTTTATTGTTGACCCATCAGACACTATTATGTCCCAAGCTGAAGGCAAAGTGAAGACCCAAAGTAGGAGTGTATCCCATCAGAGTACAGGAAAGCTCTACAAAACAATGTTTGCTGTAAGATGAATGAAAAATGCTGAGTTCTGCTAAGCTTTAGACCATTTTTAAGCAGTTAATTGGGGGATGTAAATATGAAGTGTTGTTGTAACACAGAAGTGGTCACTTGCATGAATAAGCTGTCAGTGAATTACCAGTCATTTTCTGACATACTCTGTCACTGAGATTTTGAATGTATGTATTCTGCTCTTAAATGAAATTATTTTGTATTTACATGCTCCTTTATTTACTTTGAAGCTATTTTTCCAAATATATTGTAGGGTTCAACTGTCCTGGTTCATAGGGCGTAAGATTTGCAAATGTTTCTTTAAAATATGGTATATTGATTTCTGGTTAATCTTACTTAAAGGTACTTTGAATCATTTCTGTCTCACAGTAAGCAATCACAGTGTTTTCCTGCACAGCATACAAACACTGCATAGGTTTCCTTGAAAATGCACCACAGTATTTTCATGTTGTAATTCTTGGATTTCTCAATGTGTGAATTTTTGGGCTTTCATTAATATATTAAGTCAGCAAAATCCCTTTTTCTTACAGTGCTTGACTAGTGAAGAAATTTTTTCTTTGCATGGGATACCAAACAACAGTCACATATCAAATTCCAGCTTCTCTACAATATGTCCCGCTGTTTTGCAACAGCTAATTTTTCACCCGTGTGATCATGAGGAAAACTTTGAGGATACGTCTAAACCAGATTCTTTACAAGGTTAGTTAATATTAATTAATATTAATACTCTGACTTGAGTGGGGTTTTCTTAGGGGAATAGTAAGCATTTATCTATGCATAACAGGAGTGTCTTGAGGAAGAGGATATGGTTGTAAAGGGGAACCATAAAATGCTGTTTCAGGTCAGCAGACCATCTAAACAAACACACAGAGTCTCACTGGTTAATAGGAGAGAAGATGGGAGTATAGAAGGGAAGTTTGTGCAGGTGATTTCCAGTGGGAAACCACCTTAGTGGGATTTGCGTGTATCAAGGCAATACAAGGTAAAATTACTTAGGGGGCTGCATTTGAGTGGAGAGATTTTCACGTGGGAGTCATGACATCAGGGGAGCCAGTGATTGTTTTAGTGAGGAAAAATATTCCTTCCAAATTCTGACACCTGCTTTCATTTCATCTTCTGTGATGACCCCTCCATGTAGAATATCATCATATGACTAGGTAGCCTTGGTCTTCCTTCCTCCTACTATTATTTCCATATTTATTATGCACAGAACTGTATGGTGCAGTAAAAAACATAGGACAGGGAAGCTCAGCTGGTTAATGAAGTAACTTGTTGCACTGATAAGAATCAAACATACAATGACCTATTGATTTGATTCAGCATCATGAATAAATTTACTACTCCAAGAGAGTCAGCTGAATTAAATTTAAAAGTTAGAAGTTTGGATGAGCTGGTGCCTAATGAGCATTTATGAGAAGAGGCAGAAAAGTGCTTTTCATAACTTTTGAAATACTAGCATTAGTAACAGTCTGATTAATGTAAGTGATCATATTTATTAGTAATGAGAGGTCATTACTAAAGCTTAGCTGTGTCAGTGAAAGATTAGAATTCTACTTGAGTAATCACTGAATTCATGGCACCAATTTACCATGGCTGTTCTAAATTACTTATATGAAGACACATATTGCCAAGAAGTCTGTAATATCTGCACCAGAGAGTAGGATCTGTCCTTCCTTTTTTTTTTTTTTTCATTTTGTTTTGGGGGAACTGTTTAAGTAGGTTGTACATGGTATCCTTGACCTACAGTTAATCTCCTAAGCTTTTTAGACCATCCCTCTTGTTTTTCTTTTATCCCTCCAGCTCAGAAGCAATGTCCAGTAGCCAGATAAGCAAGGCAGCCTTCTCCCTGCCCCTCCCTTAGCTGCAGAGCAAGAAATCTGCAAGGCCCATGAAGAGTATTTTAAACCACAAGGGTATGAGTCTGTGGCACATAGTGGTACCTATTTTGAGCAGAAATTCACAGGAAGGCCCAGTGCCAAATGCAGCTGTTGATTTATGCACACCTCCACTTCATCACAAAACAAATCTGTATTGCAACAGCATTGGCATCAGGTGATTGCAGTTGCTGCCCATGAAGCAAAATCTTCTGTGCATGTTTATATCTGTGCTCATGTGAATTTTCTCCCCAGGGACTCCCATTCACTTAATGATATAGAGTCTTCTGAAACACTAATGGACAAGATGCATGGAAGTAACCAATGCACTGAGCTTTACAGAACAGCTACTTGAAATAAAAAATAAGTGCTGATGAAGCAGAGTAGAATTTGGAAGGCAACATGTATTACGTTTTTTTTTTCTTGGGGTTTGTATCACTCATATCTAACCTAGCTGACCTTAGGGGCACACTCAAGTCCTTCCCTTCCTTGCTTCTCTGAAAGATAATAGGGAGGTGTATAGAGCTGTGTGAAATAGCTGGAAGTTCCCAGTGGCATTCCTTCTGTCCCAGGTGAACACTTTCTGTGCTCTTTACTTGACTTCTTCAGAAAGGTATTCATGCACTTTTTTCCTCTTCATCCTAGGCCAAGGGTAAAGAAGAGCCTGAGCCTGCTTGTTCTTATAAGCAGCGATGCTGAGCAATGGTGTTCTAAGGAGGCCACCTTACTTGCACTCCTGCAATTATATTTTTTGGATTTCTTGAGGCTTTGGGTATCTTGGCTGTCTCTTTGATGGGTCTGCAGTTGTAGAGACAGAAAGACTAATAGTAGTTGGCAAAAGCTGACTGCACCACCACTCTCAGGGGAAGAAAGTGCGTGTCCTGAGTGCCCTGCTCGCCATATCAAGTCAGACTGGTCCGATTTCTGAGATGCATGGACTCATGAAGAGCCTAGTGTAGATGGAGTCCTAGTGAATAAAATAATTTTTAAGGCAGCAGTGCATACTGCATTGTGAAATACAGTCTGTAATGCAGGAACTTTGGCAACATTGGTTATCTTGGAATTTTGTTACTTTCTGATTTTGTTAACTTGGTTTAAAATGTACATTTTTGCACAGAATATGTGTAGATGTCCATTTCACTTGAACTAAAAGAGACTCCTGCTTCTGTAGTAATCCCAAACTCTGAAAAGTGGTTTCTGACTTCTGATGACAATTGCAGGCCCATTTGTTTATTATAAATTTGATTTCAAAAAGATATTTACAAGCTTGTCATTTATTTTAATGGAAAATAAACTCCTCTGTAGCTTAATGAACCTACACTTATTTAGTTGCGTTTTTTTCCTGCTCTCTGTGTATCTCTCTCAAAACTGGCAAATTAATGTTCTAATTGGCAGTGATATACCTTCTTTGAATACTTTAAATGTTTCTAATGCTTTCTGTTCTTGACATTATATAAATGTCATTATATATAAAAATTGTGATACTGTACAAACAAAACAGAGCCGTTCCAGTAGCAGGTGAGTAATCCAATTTGTTGTGTTTTCCAGCTGTGTTCCAGAAAAGTTAGGCTGCAGATCCCATCTGTTAGTTTCTGCCATGCGACTTCTTTACTTACACACACAAGCTTATAATGATGCAGTGTTCTGGATTAAACCAAATTGTTCTCATCTAGGCAACATGGTGTTGGCTCTGATTATTATTTGTGGTTAATTTTTACATCCTCTGTCTGTGTGGATAACTTTGTAGTTCTGTGGCATCACTTGAGGCACCATTGTAGATCTCTTCAGTGCAACTTTTAAAGCTTTTCTCTGTAGTCACAGTGACTTGAAATGTCACTGGGAGAAACAGTAATCATGCATAGAGGCACCACTTTGCGATGCTTATGAGCAACAACAGCAAGCACACCACACCTCCCCAACCTGTAATTCAGACTCCAGAATTATTATGGTATGAATTTGTGTGAGTCCTGATGTCTGAACATGAAAAACCTGAGACTATGCTTATGGTGAAGGAAACAATGTTATGGTGAACCCTGGTGCACATACTGCTTCTTAGAAAAAGGTTTTTCCCCTTGTGTACCTAAATTGCATGTCCTTCCTTTTAACCTAGGACCTCTTTTTTAATTCACTTTCATTTCTCTATTATAATTGTCTCAACTATGAGCTACCTGTCACCCCACTTGTTTGATAAGCAGTGATGGGCAGCATTTTCAGCCAGCAGAACTTTGAAAAAGATGGGGAGGGAGGAGTGCTAGGAACTAAGATACCACTTCAGGGTGATTTGAAGGAGTCATCCATCGTCAGGAAGGATTTTTGTATCTAGTACAGCCAAGACAGCAGACTTCTTTTCTTGGAGTTCCTTAGAAGTAAATGGCAATTGAATCTGACTCTGGGACTAGTCACAAGTTTTGTCTTATCTGTGCGCTATAGCTACTTCAACTATTGACCTAAGCCTTAATTTTTACTCTTCATTGGCTGTAGAGAGACCTGGTTTATATTAGCAGCAAGTAGGCTAGCCCATATATGGACGAGCACAGTTTCCATTTTTAATATTGTAGTCCCAGACAGTGTTTTCAGATACTTCCTTTCTGCAGGTGTGCGTCTTAATTCAAGAATTACATACTCGTGAATTTTAATTCAATCAAGGAACCACTCTCTTTACCAATTCCATTTTGACAGTTTAGCAATTAGAAATCACAAGCAGACTGGAGTGGGTGTTGCACTAAAATATTTTGTATTTCTCCTTGTTTATCCACAGTTTGGGGATTTGGGTTCCTGGCTGTGACTATCATTAACTTGGCATCACTTCTGGGATTGATTTTAACTCCTCTCTTAAAGAAGTCATATTTCCCCAAGGTTTTAACTTACTTTGTGGGCTTGGCCATCGGTACTCTCTTTTCTAATGCAATTTTCCAGCTCATTCCAGAGGTAAGCAAGGGGAATCATTAATTGGTTTGCATACTAGTTTCTGAAGTGTATTAATTTTAGAAGCATGCTGCTGTGGGGTTCTGTGTGTGGGTTGTAGTCTCCAAAGAGTTTTGTGTGGGTTTCAGTGCCATTAGCTACGATCCCTTTCTGGGATGAGTCAGAGCCATCAAGATCTCTGTCTTGTTGTGCACTGGGGAAGACCAAGGGCTATTCTGCCTTTAGATAGAAAGAGAAATGCACTGGATAAAACTGTAGTGAAAGTTATTGGGCTACACTGTTAACATTTAATCCAAGTTAAAAAAATATAAAAGATCAGGATCTTTCTCAATTTCAGCTTGTGGAAACTGGTGGTGGGTACAGAGACAGTTTTTATAATAAACAGGTATCTGTGTGGTGTGGCATTTGTTTGTTTTTCTGGAAATGTATTACGATTACAGGCTAATTTGCATTGCTTTTTTCTTCACTGTTAGGCATTTGGGTTTGACCCGAAAGTAGATAACTATGTTGAGAAGGCAGTTGCTGTGTTTGGTGGATTCTATATTCTCTTTTTTGTGGAAAGGATTCTGAAAGTGATATTAAAGATCTATAACCAGGTAATGAAACCTATCACTAACTGAACAAGCCTTGCCTGAAAGTACCTGTCATATTTTATGAGATACTTGCTAGTTGAATAAAATGTGTGGGGTTTTTTCTATTGCATCTGAGGAATTCAGCCCTACTGCGTGTTCTGATATATCTGTTTAAAATCCATATGAATAGGGGAAGCAACCTCACTTTTTGAAGGAGTTACAAGCAGCACTGGGAATAGAATCCAGATGCGAGTGTGGTCTGCTCTCACTGGGATATGCTCCAGTTGCTCTCAACAACCAAGTTGTTGGCGTGATAGCTAAACACATCAGAAAAGTATGGAAATACATAAGAGCTGGAGAGAATGGAGTCTCCCATGGAGTCTCCCCTTTGCCAGGAGAAATCCATGTGACATTTATACCTTCTTAGTCATCTGCAAAGTGTAACCATGCTGATAGCACCTGAATCTCTTCTTCAGTAACTTCAGCTCTTTGTTTCTCCATGCTTTAGTACACAGACCTGCTTTAGTGAACACTGCAGTTATCTCTTACTGCCCAGCACTCTGCTGGCATTCTACCCATATATCAGAGTACTTGTTTGCTGTGTACTCTCATGAGTGGGGCGGAATTTGTCTCAGGGAAGGGCACCTGAAAGTTTTGGTCCTCTCTGCTCATTACTTGTGAAAGGAAACTGTCCTACTCTTATCGCTCTTAAGGTCCCCCCTCCCAAAGTATTGCTGGGACTGAAAATTATGATGACCAACTGCCCCTTGTTAGTAATAGCTAAAAATAGAAAAACCAAATTTCTTACTCTTTATTTTTTACACAGTTGACAAAGGATAATATGCTCTATTTGACAAGCAACCATAAATAACTAGCAAATGTTAGACACTTCTGGTTAGGTGTTTGGCCTGGGAGGTTCTACATAAAGGTGTAAAACTGAAAAATCCCACATGTATTCTGGTTAGCTAAAAGTAAGAGATAAGTTATGAACTTAGATACATTTGGAGTTCCTTTAAAAATTGAAACGTTTACCTGCTGCTCATTTCAACAATCACTTGGTGTTGAAAGCAAGGCAGCAAAAGTATCATGCACCCACCTTTTCCTTTTTGTCTCTATTATGTTTGCTCTTATGCTTTTGTTTTAATTAGCTCCTACTTATTTATTTGTTACCTAGACTGGCCATAATTACTTTGAAAATGGTGAAGAGAATCGTTCTCAGGATAAGACTAACCCACCCAAACCACTGTCATCCAGCAATGGGGGGGCGTGTTATGCAAATTCAGCCGTCATAGAGAGCAATGGAAATCTTGGTTTTGACAGCATCAGTGTGGTCTCAGCACAGGTATGAAAATTGTGTCTATTTTTTTTTTATGGTATTCCTGCCAATCATATAAGCATGTCTGAGGGGAGAGTTAGTATGAATTTTTATTACCTTTGTAAATTTTTGTAAACTTGGGACATGGACTCGGTAGTGTTAGGTTAGTGGTTGCACTCGATCTTACAGGTCCAACCCAATGAATCTGTGATATTGCAGGTAGCAACCAAAAAGCCATCATTACTCTTGTCCTCCTCCGGTGAGGTTCAAAGGGGCCAGGTAGTCTTCAGAGTGATTAAGGGGTAGGGGAGGGCAGTGTGGCTGAGGTGTTTTGGGGCATTTTGGTAATGACATGAGGGTAAGTCTGCATTCAACTTTACAGGCCTGTAGTATTTAAGAAAGAAAAAAAGAAGAAACCCTTTGGCATAAGCCAACACATACCTAAGAGAATTTTAACGTGTTCTCGTAATCTCCTGCTTGTTAAATAGGCCAAACACAGCATTGTCAGAAATCATCATGAAGTCTTTAAGGAGGGAATTTGATGCCTGACTGTGCTGAGGTGTGGTAACTGTTTTCAGCCATGGGGATCCAGCTATATTCTCTCCTTTAATGCCAGAACAGATGGACTGCCAGAGTAAATGTTTAATTAGTCACTTACTTTCTGTTTTCACTTGAAGCAGTAATTGCAACCTCCTTTGTGCTCTACCCAAAGTTTGTATCTACTATGCGTTGAAATACTGACAACAGTAACTTTGAAGAAAAGTTGTTTCAAAAACAAATTGCTGAAATGTCTGTATTCTTGAGTGCAGAGTGTTAGAGCTGTATAACAAAACTTTACAGTGGCCTTTATTTATTCCCCAGAGTCAGTGTCAGTATTCCTTCTTGGTCCTGTGGGCATTTCTAGAGAACACTAAAGGACACGTCTGGTTCCTGTCTGAGGGAATCAGAGATGCATTAGAAATAGCAATAGTAATCTGAGATATCATGGGATAAAATAAGAGAGGCTCTATAAATTTTTATTTTGGGAATGAAGGAGAGATCATTACTTTTAAAAAAACTCCCTGTCTCTAGAAGAGGAAAAATACCAAGGACATCTTTGGTTTTCCATAAACTGTAGAGATACAAATAATACAGAACTGAATTAATAATTAATAAAAATCAAACCTGATAGTCCAGTTGGGTATTACAGAGTTCCTTAGCTGGCATATCTTCTGTGGTGTCTGCTAAAGTACCATGAAAAAGCGAGAATGGTGCAGCAGAGACAGGCATTGTTCATTTTTTTGCCTTGAAATCCTATATATTTGTAGGATAATTTTGTCAGTAATCTGCCTTGTCTGAAACACGAGGAATATGTATTACTCGTTCATCTTCTTCTATGGGACACGCAATCTAGTGAAGTTCAGAATATAAATCCAGACAAGCAATTTCATTGTACTTTATATGATTTAGAGAAGTTGTCAAGACATTATCTACAATAGATTACATGCAAGAATTATGATACTTCAAAACTACACAGTAAATGGCAGAGAACCATATACCTATTGCAGAAGCCTCTCAGAAACTGTTTCCTAGTTTTTAAACTACAGTTATTTCTGCATTTTGAAAGACTTGGTGATCTTTAATTCGGTGATCTTTAAGAATAAGCTAATTCTTAATAGTATCTTCTTACTCAATGTTCTTTTTTTTTTAACTATATGCATAGAAAGTTCAGCATGTATATTTGTAAATTATTTATGTCACTAAAAAGCCCTTCAGATCAGAATTTTTTATGTGCTGTACATATAATGTGCTTTGAGCTGTCGTTGGAATTCTCAGCTGTGCCAGAAAATGGGTCCTTTACCTAGTTCTGTGGCTAAGCCAGTTGTGCCATCACAGCCCTCAGAAAGCCATGTGCACAGACATGCTTCCCATATAAAACCAACTGTGCTTTGGTGGGAACAAACTGAAACAAGTACATACAACTGATGGTTTTGCTCATCTGTATTATTTGCTCACTGTTTCCATTGCTCTTTCAGAAAGTTTCATCCTAATAAATTTTTGCTTGGCATTTCATATGAGATTTTTTGGTAACAGAAAGTTTTTACAGAACAAAACCATCACCTCTTTCTCATGTATAATGGAAGTTGCTAACATGTCTTTTCAGAATACAATTTCCTGAGATTAATATTGCTGCTTTATCAGAAAATACTTGCTGTTGTTTGTGTGTATGTGAACAATGTTCTTTTCTAGTAGAAAAAATGAGTTAATTGTTCAAATTAAAATCTGTGCATTGTCTCAAACTCCCTTTCCTCAGTGAAACTAGAAACATGTGCAAGGAAGATGATGTGTTTTTGGCAGAAATTAAGATGATCTACAAAACAGTGCCTCCACCAGTTCATAGGTTGCTTGAAGGATGGTCACCAGGGAACAGAAAATAACATAAGGGAGCAGATCTTCAGCTCAGGGAGCTGGATGAATTGGTGGAATTGGTCTATTACTCATAAGTGGTCCTATCTCAAGCAGAAACAGTACAGGTACAAATTAATCATCTCAGAAACGTGATTGGCATTGCTTGTGTTGGATGAAATGCTGAGAGGAAAGCTTTCAAAAGCTAAAGGCAAGCATGTAGTACAAGTCTAAAACTATGTGTTTGAGTCATCAGGGAAACTCCCAATTTTTTAATACCATTGTTCATTTTTGCATCATGAAAGTATAATTTGAGAACTTCCTATGGACTGAATAGGAGCTGTAAGTGTGCTTTGTGGTAGTTTTGGCACTACTCAAGCAAAGCTTTATTATCTATGACTTCCAGACAGTGCAATAAGCATCTGACTCGGAAATTCCTGACCTGAACTTTTGTCCTATCTCAAGACAGCTCCTAATACAAGAATGTAGTCAGATAAGAGTCTGGTGAGCAAATCATGAGACAGTCCTTATTGCTCTGTCATTAGAGATTTTGTAAGAATTTACTGATCATTGTATTTCCTTGTAGTTCATAATTTAGTTTCCTGGTAGTATTTTCATATGGCAAAACTAAAACAGTTTGCAATGTTGTTTTTAATGACATACAGTGAGGTGGATTGAGAACTGGCTGAATGGCAGATCCCAGTGGGTCGTAATCAGTGGCACGGGGTCTAGTTGGAGGCTTGTCACTACTGACGTTCCCCAGCATTCAATAGCAGGCCCAGTATTGTTTAACCTATTCAACAGTGACTTGGATGAAGGAGAAGACACCTCCTCAGCAAGTTTACTGATGATACAAAGCTGGGAGGAGTGGCTGATACCTTCAGAGTACTGTGCAGTCCTTCAGAAGAACCTCAACACGTTGGAGAAATGGACAGAGAAGAACCTTCTGAAGTTCAACAAAGACAATTGCGGGGCCCTGCACCTGGGGAAGCTGTACAGAGAAGGACCTGTATGGGTCCTGGTGGACAACAAGCTGTCCATGAGCCAGAAATGTGACCTGGTAGCCAAGAAGGCCAGTGGTATCCCAGGGTGTGTTAGGAAGAGCACTGCCAGCAGGTTGAGGGAAGTGATCCTGTCCTGCTACTCAGCCCCAGTGAGTCTGCATCTGGAGTGCTGTGTCCAGCTCTGGGCTCCTCAGCACAAGAGAGACATGGAGCTCCTGGAGCGGGTCCAGTGGTGGGCAACAAAGATGATGAGGGGAGTGGAGCATCTCTCTTGTGAGGAAAGATGAGGGAGCTGGGCCTGTTCAGCCTCGAGAAGAGACAACTGAGGGGACCTCGTCAGTGTATGCAAGTATCTGAACGGAGGGTGTCGAGAGGAAGGATTCAGGCTCTTCTCAGTGGTGCCAAGCAATAGAAGAAGAGTCAATGGGCAGAAACTGATGCACAGAAGTTTCATCTGAATATGAGGAAGAACTTCTTTGCTGTGTGGGTGACCAAGCACTGGAACAGATTGCTCAGAGACATTGTGGAGTCTCCCTCACTGGGGACATTCAAGAACTGTCTGGACACAATCCTGTTCAATGTGCTCTGGGACGACCCTGCTTGAGCAGGGAGATTGGACCAGATGACCCACTGTGGTCCCTTCCAAACTGATCCATTCTGGGATTCTGTGATGTCTATTGGACACACATGTATGCATTACTGCTTAGGTATTCCAGGGAGTACTCTTTAATGCCTTATAAGCAAATATTTTTTTTTTTATGGGGGAAATACTATAATGCTTGCAAATATTCTGTAAATACACTGTGTGTGTACAGAAATTTAACAGAATGGATCACCAGAAGTTTTTAGGGGAGTTTAGTTTGTGCTCACAGCTAAAATGACAGTTCCTTTTATCTGCTTCAGGTTTTTCATTATTTTGTGGCACCACATGTATAAATTACTTCCACTTTGGGAGGAATTAGTGAGATCCCTGGAGTGTATGTGCATTGCAGTTTTATGTTAGCCTGTTGATTTCATACTCTGAGCCTTTAACTTGCACAGTCAGAATTATCCACTACTGTTTTTATTAAACATTCACTTTGTAGAAACTAATTTGAATAGCTGGATTTGACTATCATTGCCCAAAATGAGAAATAAAGTTCATGGAATATCTGAATGTGTCTATACTCATGTGTGCCTGGCTGTTATGCAGCAGGTGTGTCTCTGAGAGTATGATGTACTGGAAGTTGTGTTTTAAATACAGATGCTGTCAGTCAATGTGATCAGGTCCTTCTGGCTGTAAATGCTTAATTGCAGTGGCTGAGGAGGCTGTGAGGAGCCCTGGGACACTCTGGGACACTGACAGAGACTCCAGAGAGACATTCAGACCACTATGGCCGGAACTGCTGTCTCAGCTGAAGAGCATTTAGGTGAAGCTTTGTAGTCAGAAGGGTGATTGGGCCCTGCATGTTAACTTGTCGAAAAGGAAAACCTTTTGGTGCTGCTGCCTGTGCCTTTTGCTTCTTGGACCAAGCAATTTGATCTCTGTATGCAGTAGCGCTTTAGTTTATACTTGGCATTCATTTTAAGACAGAAGCATGATTTGTTGGCTTCTTTATTCAGTGTTTCATGTAATTGCTTTATTGTGTTATTTTTTTCCCAGGAAGAAGCCACCCAAAGCAGCTTATGCAAGTGTCTTAATGGGCGTCCACTGTCAAAGATTGGGACCATTGCTTGGATGGTCACACTGAGTGATGCCGTACATAATTTCATAGATGGTTTGGCTATTGGTGCTTCTTTCACCCTGTCTCTGCTTCAAGGGCTTAGTACCTCCATAGCCATCTTGTGTGAAGAGTTTCCTCATGAATTAGGTAAGGAACTTCACTGCACATGTTGTTTGCTGTGGAAGTCACTGTTGTAGGAGGTTATGCATAGATTGAAAGAAAGTTTAGACAAATTAATGGAAAAAATATTCATCAAGAAGTTCCCAAGCATCAAAATACACATCTGGCACAGGAAGTTCCCTAGTGCAGGTGGGTGGAAGCTGGGACTGTATATTGGAAAGGTGTTAATTATCCTGTTCATATATATTGCATACACTGTTGTATTAATTAATTTTAAAAACAAAAATCATTGTAAGTAGGTGTGTGTTCCTGTGCTCTTAGCTCGATCTTGCATTGCCTATTTATTTAGAATATATCAGTTTCCTTAGTATTGAAGGGAAATCCTCATCATGAATGAAGAAAAACAACAGCGAGTTATACAAATCATGTCTTTTATTCAGAATTCCTTTGAAATCAGGAAATAACCACAATATAATTTTCTGAAGATGGTTTTCTTTTTTTATTATTCTTCTAGGGGATTTTGTCATCTTGCTTAATGCAGGAATGAGTACTCGGCAGGCTCTGTTTTTCAACTTTCTGTCTGCGTGTTCCTGTTACATTGGGTTGGCTTTTGGTATATTAGTAGGCAACAACTTTGCTCCTAACATCATCTTTGCTGTAGCTGGTGGAATGTTCCTGTACATCTCTCTGGCAGATATGGTGAGTTATAACTTCATTTTTCTGCAAGAAAACTAAGACTTCACCAAGTCTTTCCAGTAGAATTTAGTACTTTCTTGCTCTCATGCCAGTGTCATCTAATTATTATTATTATATTTATTATATGTTAAATCAGCAATTATCCCCTTAGTGAGGGTGCACAAATAGTTATGTTTGTTCATGAAACATGGAAGTCTTTCACTTCACAAATATGGCTCATCACGTTATTGCTGAAAAGGAGTTTTAGAGAGGGACAAGCTTTTCATGAATGGTTTCATTAAAGAGTAATAAATACTTTGTTTCATCATTTTAAAGTGTCAGAGTATTTCACCTTATCTTTAAAAGGTTCATTTGTCTATTTAAACCATATTGTGAAAGAAAAGCAGAAAAAGAAAGGTAAACAAAAGGAAGTTAAGTATTAAGTTTTGAGTTGAATGAAAGGTATTTTGTAACCACCATGATAATTTTGGGGTTGTTTAGCTGAAAAATCTGATTTAAATTCTGTTCTGGTTTAAATTAAACAGTGATAGCCCCAGTTTCAAGGTTCAGACTGAAAAATTTGCTGAGCTCTATGCAAAATAGTCTGTCTATCATGTATTTTTCAAAGTACGCTAGAAAATATAAGCGAAAGAAATTGTGATCCAAATAGGGTTTAGACACTGGGAAATAAAACCTGGATTCACAGGCAGTTAGCAATACTCCCTAATTTCCTCTTACGATGATGTTTTGTCTCAAAATGAGAGAGGTCTTTCAAGAGCTTTAAGTTTTATTATTTTTATTTCAGTGTTGTAAGAACAGATGCAGCAGGTGCAAAGGTGTTTACACCTGCCACACGAGAATCCATTTGAATGTAGAAGTGGAAGAGTGAGGCCTGAATCTGAAAAGATTTAAGTCCCCAGTTTGTTTCTATGTGTGTTCAAGAACAGTCATGTAGTTACAATGACTATTCCATTGAAAGCTATTATAGTTTTTGTAATAGCATAGAATTTAAGTAATACTCCTAGAATAAAGAAACAATATAAGAAGATTATTTTATAAGTTTGCAGTACTTTGAGTACCTTGATGAGTAAAATTCATGGCATAGATTTAGAGTGGCTCAAATTTGTTGTTAATCCATCAGAGTAGGTAACCTTCTCTTATTTTATCTGTTGTTCTGTTCTCTCTGATCCTCTCTGTCTCTCTCCCTCTCCTTTCCTCCCCAAAATCTCTCTCTCTTTTTATAGGTTTTTGGATTGTATCAGTTACCTATCTGAATTTTCCTTCCCCCTGAAAAGTCTGACATAGGGTATTCAAGTGCTCTGTACAGAGATCTGGCTTTCTGCTTTCTGTTATGATTTTCACACACTTCTGGTTTCCTTGTCCAGAAGCAGGTAGGATTAACCGGAATGTCATTCCTTCCTCCTTCTCTTTTTGCTGCACTTTTTCCTTCCAGTATTGGCATATGCCACCTCTGCCAACAGGATCACTGTGAGGTGAGAACACTGTGGGCAGGTGAGAATGTGTACACTGAGGTGTGTGCACAAATGAGCCTTGCTGCGTGGCATGAAGTTAATCTGGTTTGCTGCCACTGTCTCTTGTGCAAGAGTATTACGGAGCTCTGGAACAATTTCTGGGAAGGTTTGGCCACTTCCCGCTAACCTTAGCCTGTTCTTCAAGAATTGCGTTACCTTCAATGGCTGTTTTTGTGTTGTGAGATCAAAGATACCATTTCTGAGTCACCCAGACTGAAGGTTTCCAAACTAAGACTGAAATAAACTGTCTTCATTGCATTCTGGTTGTACTACTCCCAGCAGAACAGGAGAAGAGAAAGTTTATTTGAGTGTGTTTGTCAAAATCTACTATAGTTGATTTTATCTGCAGCAAACACATACCCTGAATCATCCCATGCGGGGAACTTCTTGCCTGTGCTCTTCTGCCATCGCCTCAGAGGAAGTACCTTTGTTTCTGCAGTCAGCAGCACAGCAGTCATCCTTTGCTGTTATGTTCCCATTAAAATGCATGTTACGGAATGAAGACTCCCTTCATTGCTCTGTAGTGTAATATTTGCATGTGTTACCACCACTTTCACACCAGTCTTCTTTCTTCCTTGCTTGACCTCACAAGCCCACCAGACTTTCTACATGTAAAACGTTTCTTACTTCTGAGGCGTTGTCTATGTTTTACATAAAGCAAAAGAATCCTAGTCTTGCACTTCCTGAACAAGGATTTCTCTGCTTATATACTAGTGAAGGAAGAAAAACAGTATTTCGTAATACAAGGGCAGCTGCTTCTAGCAGCATATAGACCAACAATTGGAAACTAGGAGACTGCTGGAATCAAAAAAGGAAAATTTGCATGAGAGACAACCAGGTGAAATCTCAATAGAGAGGAAGAAGACACCATTTCATTTCACCATCCTTGGTGGAGTAGTTTTTCAGGGTAATTAGGGTGACCTGTTCCCATGACTGCCTTCATGCTCTGTTAGTTCTAATATTCAGTCCAAAGCAGCAACATTGTTCAGTTCTTAATGCCTTAAATAAGGCACACTACCACGAGATGGCAATACTTACCTAAAAATATCCTTTTTTTTTTTTCCAGTTCCCAGAGATGAATGATATGCTGCGGGAGAAAGTGACAGGAAGAAAGATGGATCTTACATTCTTCCTTATTCAGAATGCTGGTTTGCTAACAGGGTTTACTGCTATACTGATGATCACCTTGTATGCAGGAAATATCGAGCTGTGATAATGCACGTGAAAATGGAATCATTATTGAAGACATGAAGTAAATTGCAAATGGAATACACTTGAAATCTGTAAAGGGACATTCATTAGAGACAAGTCCCATCCTGCCCCTCTTGCCCCAAACATAGGAAATTCTTCTTTAGGACTTGCAGTCAATCCAAATAACAGGAGCTGTCAGCTTCTGTACAATGCCAAAAAAATGATTCTAGTATTTTTATTTCTACTTAAAATTATCAGACATAGCTGAACTGTCATAGAGAAAGGATGTTACTTGGCCAGTAGAATTATGCAATACATGCAATTCAGGACCAACTGAAAGCTGAGGAGTACAAGGAAGATATGTATTTAAAAGAAAATAATAGAGTTTCATATCATTTTTTAAACTGTGATGAAGGCAAGCAGTTTCAATTTTCATGACTTTTGTTGCAGAATTTGTCTGTGTAACATCCCCTTTCCCCACCCACCCCCCCAAAAAAACACTATTTCAGAGTAAGTACTAATGAAGCTAAGATTTTTAATTACTAATTAACACTGGAAGGAAAGATACCAGTTCCTGCTTTTGATCTTCTCTCTTTATAAGTGCACTAGGGAATTGTTGATTTATTTTGAGAACCACTTTTTTTAATTAGAGGGAACCTGTGTTAAATTTATGACTGTTTTATCAACTCCATAATATTTTAGAAACATTGAGTATTTTAAAATGTACAAGCATTTTGTATTCTATGAGAATCTAAACTTCTGTACTTAAGTTTCACAAATATTCCCTTTAAAAAATCAGTATTTTACTTACACAAAATGAAATTTAGAAAAAAATCCTACTGAAATCAACATTCCAGTAAGCTTTTTTGTAATTTGAATAATTCCTCATGTGCAGTTGAATGGAAGTAAGTGATAATAAAATATACACATTCTTATCTCAATCTGTTGCATATGACCTTTCTAAAATCATGCTTATGTGTATGAGTTCTTCTGAAATAAACAATTCACCTCCAGTGTTATAAGATGTGTGCAAGGAAATTCATAAAAAAATATAGTCCATTTCAATCACCACTTTGCTTTGAAGGAAGTGTTATTCTCTAGTAAGTTACATTTTTGATTGATTTTTAAGCAAGTTTTACAACTTCACAGAAAATACTATTTTTTGATGTATTTCCTGGTTGTAGGAAAGGACAAATATTTTATTTCTAATTCTCTATTAAAATGTATTTTCTACCAGGTAAAGGATTTATTTTAATATTTTATTTGAATCTCATCTGTAATTACATCAGAGACAATAACTAGGTGTCTGTTCTTCTGCACAGAAGTTGTAAATGATACTTACTTTAAAATACACTATAAATGCTAAAATGCAATCATAGTAGCCAATGACATTTGCTTTATGGAAAAAGCATTTATTAGTCACTTTGTGCCCTCTAAGTTTCTGTGAAGAAGAATCCTCCCCCTCCATGTCTTTCTTTTAATTCCTTCTTTATTGATTCTTTGGATATAATCTGTTTGTAAACGCTACTCTTGTGTATGACAATAATTTATTATAGTAACTATGAATGTTCATTGACTTTTTAAAATAATTTGACCATTTCTAGTTCATCAGATAATTTTAAGAAGATACCTGTACGGTACTTTCCACCTTTAAATCCAAACATTTGCAAAGGAGACTCCCTAAGGAAGAAAAACTGAGGCAAACGAGTCATTGAAATAACCTAATTTTGGATCACAGAGCAGAGATGGGAGAGTCTGATTTTCTGCATAGTGCTTTAGTCAAAAACCAAATTGTCTTTTTTTCTAATTGTTTATTTAGTACATAAGAAAGCTTTTTGATTTCTGGATGAGCAGGTTTGTCTTTATATCTTTGCTATTATTACTTGTTTGCCCAGTACATATTAAATACATCCGTTTCAATTCTAGGACTCTTATGATTTCCTAGAGTTTGCAGATATATCCAGTGAGGAAGAAGCATGTGCAAACACTCAACAAACTGTTTTTTTGTGACAAATAAGACTGCAGTGAGTTACTTCCTAAAAAGCTTGAAAATTAGTTGAGCGAAAGACTTTCATATTCTTTTTCATGTTAATGCCATCTGCAATACTATGCAACTTAAATTGCCACCTCTTCAGCCTTCTTTGCAGCAGTTGGGCAAATTCAGTTTGTAATGTAATCTCACAGGGCTCTTACATACTTTTGTATATGTTGTTTCCTTAGGGAAAATTGTTGGACATCTAATGTTTGGCATTATCTAACAAATACTTGGGAAGATATTCTGTCTTGGCAATACTGTCATAGATAGTATACAGTTGTAAATAGGTCACTGTCATAAAGTTTCCTTTTTTTCATGACATGATTCATGACCTAAGATGTGCTTCTGAAAATTTCACTAGGGGTGGGGAAAAATCCAACACCATAATGCCTCCCTCACACCCACTCACCCTGCTGATAATACACTAAAGAAGGAGACAGGAGCATATAAAGGGCAACAAAGTAGACAAAGGGTAAATCCTAGAGTTCTTCTGATCCCTTGAAGACAGAATATGCAGAAAAGAAAGATGGTCTATTGGGGAAGCCTGTGAAATATGTGATACATAATTACCATTTATGATTTCAGGAAAAATAAACACAAAAATTAAGTTGGTACTTTAGGGTTACTGGTTTTGACATTTTGATGAGTTCTTGACGGAATAAGGATTTAAGGCATTAAACTAAAAATTTGGTCTCAATAACCAACCAGCTAAATTAAATATCAGCCTCATTCTAACAGTAGTATGGAACTCCTTGTGGTCTTCTCTGTGTTGAAGTATTAGCTGAGCTGCTCCAATAACTCTTGTAGCCTGCCTGAAGCTTTGTGTTGCCTGAGTTAAAAAGAGCTACAAACCTTGAACTGCATGGTTTAAAGATGACTTGGACGTGCATAAATGGACATACATTCAGTTATGCTAATGATAGCAGTGGAAACATCTCCTGTGTGATACACTGTGTGTGCTAATTTCTGCATCACAATCTGTTAATTTTTAAGAAACCACTGATTTTACCTGTACGTAGCCAAACAGATTCACACATTACCATGTTGTTTTGTCTTCTTCTGGAGCATGTCATCTGTGTAAATTTGAAGGTGACTAAGATCCGGGGCGAAAACAGTTTTAGATGACTGCTTTTCTGCTTCATGCAATTCTAATGAAGCCATGTTGAGCCAAGTTTTAATGTCTCTGAACATGTAACTTGTTGCTAAATTTAGAACACTGATTGAACATGCATTTCCTTTCCACAGGTAGAATTCAAGAAATCTTCCACATTCCTTGAAACTTAAAAAAACCAAAAAAAACTTCACAAACAGTTTAAGCCAAGTGAAAACTGCTTAGATCTGATTGTAAGAACAGCAGCACATAACAAGAGACACACTCTCCTACCTGCAGTTAGGTGATCTAGTCAGGTGTAGTTGATTCCTTGAGTATGTTGGAACACGTTCAGGTGTTTGAGCTTCCAGCCTAAGTGATAAGCATAACAAAGCACAGATGCTGTGAGGACATTTCCAAAAGGTTCAGAATTGTTCTGAATTCTTCAATGGAAGTTCAACTAAAGAACAAGATGGCAGAAAAGAAACTGTCTCTAGAAATGCATATTATATTTCACAAATCAAAAATACCTGTGGAGCAGGGCACTAACTTGGATTTCCCTTTGCACGCGGTTTCTCTGTATAGATTGGTCAGTGCCACCAAACCATTTCATGTGTGCCTGTGCACTGTGTATTGTAGCTCTTGACTTTTGATGCACAAGTTATCTCTCTGAGATTTGAGAAGAAACTTATCTCCCTGTCTTGCAGTTCAATTCAAAATGTACAGGTCTGTCAAGCTGACAAAGGGTGCTAGAGAGAAAGCCAAAGACCTGCTAGCAGTAGATGTAATGCACCTGTCAAAGACAAGGTTACATTCTATTTACATTTATTTTGCGCCAATATATTGCCCTTTTTTTTTTTTTTTTTTTAGTTATTACAGTGCTTTTGAAGAAGATAATGTGTTTACATGTCTTGTGGTTGCTATTATGATCATAATGCTTTATTTTAATTTAAGTGCCTTCCACAGTTTCTACATTTTCTTCCATTTTAAAGTTAAGTGCTACAGCATTCAGTGCTTGGGGTAGAAATAGGAGATACAGAATGCCACAGAAAGTGAACTGCAGGGAAGATGTAGCTTGAATTTACAGATAGCATGTAAACTTAGGCAATAATGTAATTCTCCATAATACAGCTGTATTTCACCCTCTGGTTAGGCTGGTTCTTGAGAAAAAGACATGCACAGTGGCATTCCCTTAGTGCTAAAGAGTGAAAACCCCAATCTAATTAGAAGAAACATGAAATGAGATTATATGAGTCAAGCAAATTTAGTTAGCTAGAGAATACAAAAAGGGTTTGATGGCATTGGCCTAAAGGAGACAGAAAATGCACTAAAATGCATTTTTCTGATTCATGGGTGAAACCTAATGAAGTGTTTGTCTCACAGTAAATACAAACCCAAAAAACTGACTGTTTTTGTAAGACAGAAGAGTTATTGTTGTGTATTGATCTGTATATTTTTGTCCTTGCAATGTCTTGTGAACAAAACTTTTTTTATAAAATTTCTTTTATCTTTGAGAGAACCATACTTGTGTGTGATGCTGAGAGGATTTTGAACTTATTTATCAGGTTTTCATATACTGAAATTAGTTAGGTCTTGTAAAGTTTATCACAGACCTTTGGGTGTCTCTCTTCCTCACTTATTTTCTGTATACTTCTTATATTCTACAGAAACTTTTGACCATTTTAAGTAAGATTATTAGTAAGATAATACAGATCCCCTTTTGGTTGTAGAAATGTTGGTAGTGATTTGCAGTAGTTAAATGTTCATTTGAAGTAAGTTACAGTGGGATTTGTTTGAAATCTCCTTTTACAAACAGCAGACCTGAATATAAAAAAAATCTTCAATTTTGATTAATACTGATGTATTAAAAAGCATAGTTCTCTGTGGCAATAGAGGAGTTGTTCTCCTTTAAGTAGAGATTTTGTAACTTTTCACTTCACTAGTATATTAGTGAAATCAAAGATACAGCTTCTGATGAATTGGCAAGGAATTAGATGAGATATATAATGTTCCCTGACCCTTTTTCGTTTTTAAAGAAATCAATCCACAAAAATAACTTCCTTTTTTTTTTCTCTAATTTTTATTGCTCATCCAATCATAGCTAAATCTATGGTTGCTTGTCTTACCATAAAGAAAAAATCACTTAGCTTAAGTGAATGAGTTTCACTGATAACAACAGAGGGCCTTGTTCGCTGAAGTACTTGTAACAAACTTCTTCTATACTTCAGGGAGAGCTTTGGGTATGAAAGAGGCATAAATATGATGACACACATGATATTTAATATTTGAAATGTCTTCTGTGAAGATTGTTTCGTGAATTTAGAAACCCCTGTGGTACAGCTGGGCTTGCACTGTGTGT